TCTCGCATCAGTGCCCCTTGTTCTGGTCCCGCTCTTGCTCTACTCGACACCTTCCGATTCTTCGGCGCATGCTGGTCGTCCTCAAGGTCATGATGAAGGAATCCATCATCTTCTTCGCTCTGCTGGCTGTTTTGATCATCGGCTTCTTGCAGGCGTTTGTCGGACTGGATGCTGCCGAAGACATGGCTGTCGACGACTACGCGCTCATTTTCAAGGCCATGGCCAACGCATCATGCAGAGTCCTGACATGGATGTCTTTGACGAGTTCTCGCCGCCCTTTGGAACCATTCTCTACTACTTCTTCACATTTATCGTCATGGTCATCCTGCTCAACATTCTCATCGCCCTGTACAACTCGGCGTACGAGGACATTTATCAGAACGCCAACGATGAGTTCCTTGCCTTGTTTGCGCAGAAGACGATGCAGTTTGTGCGCGCACCCGACGAGAACGTGTACATTCCGCCCTTCAACCTCGTCGAGATGGTCGTCATTGCATTGGTAGGCTGGTGGATGCCCAAGGAGCGCTTTGAGCACCTCAACGACATAGTCATGGCCGTCTTCTACTCCCCGGTCCTTCTGATCGCGGCCTACGCCGAAACGCGCACGGCCAAGGAGATCCAGCGCAACCGCTCCAACGGCGAGGAGGACGACGACGTGGTGGAGGAGTGGGAGCAAATGGCGGGCGAGCTGGACTTTGAGGCCGACGGCTGGGACAAGATTTGCGACAGTGCCAAGTCGAACGTGGAGGTGGAGCCCGCCGTGCAGGAGGTGAGGAAGCTGAAGGAGGAGATTGACGAGCTGAAGAAGCTCATTCTCGAGATCTCGAAGGCTGTGGGCGCCGGCAAGGGCAGCACGGCGACCGACCTCGTCTCTTTCGATGGCGAGGGCGCAAAGGAGGATGGCGCGCAGAAGGCCAAGGACGGTGCCGCGGCCGGCAGCTCAAGCGAAGTCGAGTGAGATGCCGCATTGCGGGGTCGTTCGCGCGGAATTGTTCCCTGGGGAGGGCGCACGTAGATGGTCACACTTCCCGGGTGAAGAACTACCTGTGTTTGCGTTTTGTAGTTACGAATGATACGATTACGACTGAATTGATTGTCACGATGCGGACAAGGCGGTTTTGAAAATAGCCTTCCACGCTGATCGGAATGCCGGCAGACGCCTATTCGGCAGAGGCATCAGCCATCTATGCGCAACGCCATGGCAAGGTAGATATGTGGCCAAGGGGCTTGTTTGATATTGTGCCTTGCCGCTGTGTGATGTGTTGTCATGAGCGTCAGCGCAATTGAGAGCATTGGTGGGCGATTGAGAGCCATGGGCTGGTTCGTGAGGGCCAGGCAGAGTTGTTGAGGCAGGTGCAGATGCGATTCGGCCACCACTGACAGGGCTCTATGCTGGCCGAGAGCCTGAGGTTGGTATCCCTTTCATGTCGAACTTCAACCTCAGTAGGTATTTCACATGATCGACAGCCAGGCGGCAGAAAATAGATGTCGCCAATTGAATCAAATGATATCACAAACAGTACATCTGCATGCCTGTACGTGTACGTACTTGATATTCAACAGACGTACCCGCTTCAACTATGTACTGAAGGAGTAGCTATCTAGATCCACATCAGAGCTATTCAGGTCGGCGGTGGTCAGTTTACGTGCTGAGGTTTACTTCGAGGGGATGCGCCGTGGGATCACGCTGTACGCGTGGTGACACTGCAAAGTACGAACCGTCTGGCCGAGGACACCATCGGCACGTGATTTCGTCACTGGGCATAAGGCAGAGAAGGCAGGCAAGGCAGGGCAGGTTTCTGGGGAGACCACAAGCGGCTAGCGTCAGGCTACCGACCACACGGGTCCACCCTCTCGTGGGTCCGCTCGAGCTGGCAATTTTCCTTCAACCCTTTGATTTTTTCGGACACCCGTCGCCCTTCGCCAGCCTTGACGCTTCACCACCACGTCACCAGCCCACCATCACACTACCTTGCCTTGTGCATCAACAACGAATCAACCCACCTACGACTGCTGCCACCAGCCAGCAAAAACAATCCAAACACGCAACGACTCTCCCGTTCTACCAACAACCCTCTTGTTCGATCTCAGCCATCGTTTAGCAAGCCACCTATACCCGTCTGCCCCCCCCCTGCAAAAAAGCTCTACCTCTCCCTACGGTATAGCTACATCCGCATCCGACCTGTCGCGACTTGCATCTGTCCCTGCATTCCTGTTCGCCTCTCTCTCCCCCCCCCAACGTGGCTTCAGGTTACCAGCCCGAACCAACCCTATCCCGCCATCGCGTCGTCAAGCATCGTTCTGCCTGCCATCGCGACGTCTTTGAAGATTTGATTTCGATTTTTGATTCCCCAAAACCGACATCACAATCATGCCTCTTCCTTCGAGTTTCGCCTCTGCCGCTGCAGGCCAAAATGCCAACCGTGACGCGAGAGCCGGCCGTGGTGATGGACGTGGAGGTGCCGGAGGTGACTGGTAGGTCTATCCCTTTTTTTTTTCTCCCCAATCCTGAATGGAGATGCTGTCTGAACGAGGTGTTGTCGTTTTTTCACCTGCTGCTGTGCTTCGCTCGAGGATGGGGCGGCGTCTCCACCCCCTTGGGTCAAATTTGAAGCATCATGCAATTCACCACAACCCCCTTGTCTCCATCCACCCATCCCATCGCGATCCCAAAACCTTGGCCCGCACACACCTTCTACGACATCAATTGACACTTCTTTTGCAGGGCCAGAAGCGGTGGCAGACCCAACGGCACCCTCACCTTCCGCCGATCCTCGACGACGCCAGGACAGACCTCCCACAGCGCGACGCCCTCCGATCAAGCCTTTCCTCAGACGCCCCTGGAGCCCACGACGCCCTCGGTCGCTGGCGTAGCGAGCTACGATTTCGCCTCACAACCCGCCCAGTACGCGAAGCAGTCCATTCTCAACCTTTTCCAAGACGCCGCCACCCAGCAAGAGTCTTCCGAAGTCCTCGAACCTGGATGGGCCCCTGGCCATGCGAACGGTAACTCGTCACGTGGCTGGGGCAAGACCGGCCACACCCACGCCAACCAGGATCCGAATTCGTGTTGGCTTCCCGCCGCTTCGAACGGTCCCAACTCTTCGCGTCATCTGTCTGCTGAGGAGAAGGAGGTGCGCTTGCCCGGCTCGTTTGTGGCCCTGCCAGCCCCACATGCTGACCCCGTATCGCAGGCTTTTGCGTCCGACGTAAACTCCCCCTTGAAACCACCGAACCAGCAACAGAAGGAAGGCGCGCAGCAAGGGCGGCACCAACGGCCGGAAAACATCCGTTTCGCATGGGAGTGGCGGTCCTGGCTTCGGCGTCGCGTCGCCGACCTCCGCTTCTCGTCCGAGCACCCGCCGGCGCGAGACAACCGACTCGAATCCTTTTGCTTCTGGAGGCGTCTCGTCCCCGGCCACGGCACGGTTTAACCGCGACGACAGCGGCTTCCTGTTTGGGCGCAAGGGAGGCGAGGCCAAGGACCAGGACCTGAGTGAAGAAGAAGGTGGCGCCCCCCCCAGTCGTGGAACACCCCAAGGCCGGGGTGGATTCGGAGGCCTGATGCGTAGCAACACAGCGGGAACTCCGATTGCCGGCACCAACATCAGTTCTCTGTGGGGGCAGTCGAACCCGCCGCCGCCGTCTTCGGGCATGGGAAACTTTGGCCAGTTTGCCCTCCCGACGCCCACCGCGCTCGGGGGTAGCGTTCGTGGCGGCAGCCGCTTCGCGAATCTGATTCCTGGAAAAGAAGGCGCCGAGGATGCGGGTGGCGCCAAGCAGGCCGAGACCCCTGGCGGCACCGCCGATCGATCGTGGCGCTCGCGCCCTCGGACTGATACCGACCCCTTCGGCGACGACAGCCTCTCCGGCAGCGCTGCCCTCGGAGGGGCCAAGGATACGAGTCCGCCCCCGATGCCCAACCCCGCGACGAGCAACATGGGAGTCTTCGAGACACCCGTCAAGGGCTCCACCAGCGACTTT